CTAGGTGCGTTCCAATAAGTCTTCCTACCAATATGACCATGTTGCGAAAACAAGGTGAAACAACCTCTATGGAGACTTGACGTTGATGTAATTTCTTTATGGTACCTGAAAACCGTTGCTTGAGCCCCCAGTCTATCAGCCAAGGTGCATCTGACCTTGCAGCGAGAAAGAGATGGTCGGTATGGGGTTGTAGTGCTCTAAAAACGACAGACAAGCTGCTGCTGAAAAAGAGTGGAAATGAGACGCGCTACGACCTCGGCAGCAAGATAATGGTCACATGGAATATCGATTCCGTCTGGAGTCTTTCCTATTAAGCACCGTTTACGACCTGAGTCTCTACTTCCTGATTGGTGTAGGCTGGCTGACAGCGTTCGGGGGTGAGGAGAGGAAGTGGAGTCTAGTGGATCCAATTGGAGGCTAGCAGGATTGTGATTGGTCGGCAATCGGGTGGCATGAGTCAGACTACGAGGCAGTCCTGTGTGAGTGGCGTGTATTCGAGAGGTGAAAATTGGTGGGATATGGATACGATGTCGAAAAACTGGGCCAAACGGGTTGGGCGAAAAGCAAGGCTTATCGCCAAGTTTCGATATGAGAAATTTGTGATTTAAGGAATAGGCCTCAGAAGGCCATTAATTTCACCCAAACTTGCCTCCCAAAAGGTATGAAAACCAAGGTGGTGTGGCCTTTTGTGTGGTCGCAGCCTCCTTTTTGACCTTTTTTTCGCAACATGGTCATATTGGTAGGAAGACTTAGGGGAACGCACCTAGTCCGCGGTCCATTGTCTGCATGATCATTTCCAAAGTTGAACCGTGCATGTGGTACATTCCCAAACGTTTTGCCGGCATCGTCAGTGAGTATCGCCATTCTTAGCACCACACAACAACTCGTCAAAGAGACATGTGAAGCTGATACTTTGTCCAAACGTGTGCTAAATAATCGTGGTATCTCCCCTTCTGCCCTGGGTCATTCGCGTTTCCGGGAGCATCCTATCATGTCTTCACTATTACACTTTTTACCGTATTTATTTCGATGTAGTGTGGTGTGCTCCTTTGAGCGACATGATACCTTCACACTCCAACCCTCGTGCTCCCCCCTTTTCAGATCAGAGTCTGCTTTATTATTATGCAGTCCTCTTTCCTAGTCTTAGCCCAGTCTCTCTCTTGCTCCGCAAAATCGTCTGCTCTACCCTTTGTTCACCTATTTCACTCGAACCTTGCCACCACATCTGTCCCACTCGAGGCGTTATTCGCCCTCCCCTGCGTCTGGGTGACCAATTTTAGGCGCAAGCCTCTGAGTGTCATGGTCACCCTTTTGCTGCATGTACCACGTCTCTGGTACAACAGATCTATCGTCAGCCAACTAGCTCCGGTTTCCGCCGTCTCTATCCTGTTTATATCCTTAATACCAAGTCTATGATTTGCCATACCCTAGTCTCTTGTGTGCCAACCCAAAAATGTTGTGGTACAGCTTGTTTAGAACCACAACATTTGTGTGTTGGCACACAAGTGACTAGAGCATAGAAGGTAATTGGCTATTTCGTCCCGACTTGACCTCAGTTTCGACCTCGCCTCATCGCATCCTCAGCCATCTCGGCGGGATTTGATACCGAGCCGTGATCGTACTGGTAACATTACCACTCGTCTACGCAGCCATGAGTGCTACCGGTTCACAGAGCAAAGGTACAGTGAGATTTTCAATTAAGCAATCGAGGTTGTTACTTATTTTTGATATAAGTAGGTCTGCCGGCCTTTGGCTCAGACAGATTACGTCGAGCAGCAAGTCTTCTCTTTAATGCTGGCCTACCTTTCTTATCGTTTGGAAATCTGGGTGGAGATGATCCTTAAATTAGCCTCACCAGAAAGGGAATGAGGATTGCATTGGATTAGCGACTGTTGAGGTGTGCGAAGTGGACCTCGTAGCACCATCATGCGACCATAATCCATTCGTGCGGAGCTGTCGTCCGTTATGTGGCGGGCATCATCGGGGCTAGAAACCATCATTTACGATACATCACCATAGAAGATTAAACCAAGAAATGTTTTTGCGTCATTTTGCATTAGTGCTCATTTTTGGCTCTGACGATGCCCGTTACATGACGGATTCATCGATGTCATAGGACGGTATGCCGATGCTCTCTTCTCCGAATCCAATAGTCACAAGTCCAAAGTACTCTTATTTCGGTATCCTCCTTTTATAACCCAGCTACTCTTCATGTCTCCTCTATTTCAGCTCGATTCCAAGGTTCTCTGTCTCGTCCAGTGCAAAAACTACTTCCCTACCCGCATACCAAGCGTCCAACAGGCATTGGTACAGGTCAGCTTTACCCTTTGATCGGTCTGTATCGAGGCCGACGTTGTGGGTAGTGCAACAAGCCGAGGTGACATCTTCACTTAGGGCCCATCCTGTCTGGGTTCCAAGCTCACTACGAACGGATCTATTACCCAGAAGATGGGAAGGCAGGGCGTGAGGTAGACAACAAACCTTTTATAGCAATTCCGTGAGGAGGCCGTGCCGGTCGACGGATGGTAACGACGTCAGTGACACCCCCATTCATACATTTCAACATTCCTCATGGCCACCTGAAAGCGCCTGGCTTGACGTTGTGAACTTAATTGCTTTGTCGGGTCGGCCACACTTACCTCTCACCATTTGGGTGATAAAGTAAGGTCAAATCTGTAGTCCGACGGACGTCATCAAGCTGCATGGAGCGGAAAAGCAAGACTTTACGTTAAGAACATGCAATTCGCTACACTCACGAGACCCACACTTGAGCTCTTGATCTCGTCTGCTACGACTGTGTCAACTCGGCTTGGCCGATCAATTTCCAGCCCACATTTCACTGGCACAGAGCAACGATACTATCTAAAATCGGCTATAATTTTATAGGGCTGAGAAGAAATCGGTCACATGCCAACGAGCTATGCAGTGAGAAGCAGAAAGGCCAACTCATATAAAAGCTGATATAGAGGCGAAAAACAGTAAGTAATATAATCAGTAGTATGCAAGTAGTATCTAGAAGGACTCAATTTCGCGATTTCGCACATCCGCATTGATTCATTCAGATGTCTTGCTCAGCCTCTTAATGCGCTATCGTGGAGTTTCCATCGAGATTAATGTGAACATAATTTACCCCTTTAATACATTATTAAATATACTATCAGTGAGTAGTTCATATCCGTAATGCAAAAGCGCACCTTTACTTTTATGTCTTGGCAGCAGACTACAAACGTTCGGGAAAATTGTAACCAAGTAGAGGACTTAAGGCACTTCACCTCAAACAGCTCGATAATATCGCAATTGTCACCCCGTAAGTCTGTTGGAG